GGCCCCGGCCGGTCCAGGTCTGCCCCGCACCTCCCCCAGGGCGCCGCAGCAGCAGCTCCGCCGCCGGGCCCGCAGCCCATGGGGCCCGAAGCCGTCGTTCCTGAAGACTCTTCCCAGCTCGGGCCAAGCTGAACTAATCCTTTCTGAATCAGCTGAATGGTCCTGATGAAGCGGAGGCGTGGATCGGTCCAAGTGAAACGCACCGCAAAGCCATGAGAGAACTGGAAGGGAAATTGGTAATTTTCTCCCTCACCACCGCTGCTCTCAGCGGGGCCCGGGGAGGAGCTGGGGGTGAGATTTTTTTAGCTGGACACCTCCGTTCCCAAGGATCCGTGTGTTAAAATGCGAGTTTCCAGCCTCGCAGCGAACCGCCCAGGCAAAGAACAATTCATCAGCTTTCAGAGCAGCCTCCCACCTGCCAGACCGAAGGAGAACCAGGTCCCACGCGCGTGGCTTTGAGAGCAAGCGGCCAATTGAAGCGGCAGCGCTCCCAATCAACCTCTTGGCGTGAGGCCCCGACGAAGGCGGGAGCGTGCTGCCAGCCTGGCGAAGCGCTCCGCTTCTCGCACAGCAGAAGGGCAAAGCCACGCAAGAAAATGACGCAGCCAGCAAACGAGCGGGGCATCACCGACGTGGAGTGCGTCTAAGCGCCCGGTGGGCTCTGCGAGGTACAGCAGAGCTTTGAGACGGGGCCACACACCCCCCTTCCATCGCCCACCGGCAGCCAAAGCAAGCGTCGAAGGGATCTTGGAGCCTGAGGAATCACAGAATGGTAGGAGTTGGCAGGGCCCTCTGTGGGTCCCCCAGCCCAGCCCCCTGCCCAAGCAGGGTCACCCAGAGCAGGGGGCACAGCACCGCGGCCAGAAGGGGCTGGAATATCTCCAGGGAAGATCTCCAGAGAGGGAGACGCCCCATCCTCCCTGGGCAGCCTGGGCCAGGGCTCCAGCACCCTCAGAGGGAAGAAGTTCCTCCTCATGCTCAGACGGAACCCCCCATGCTTCAGTCCGTGCCCACCACCCCCTGTCCTGTCGCCGGGCATCACTGGAAACAGTGGAAGCTGGTTCTGGGCTCTGAGCCCCAGCCTGGTGTCGTCAGGCATCTCCGCTACATCTGTCCCCTGCATTGCTCACCGCAGCCATCGGATTTCGGCGTTGCGTGGCTGGTCCCACGCAGACGTCCTCCAAAGAGGGAAGAACAGTCATTTGACCTGTCTCGGATTTTATCTGAATAAGAGCTGGCGCTCACAGCTGAG